TCCCCCAACACTCCCCCCCATCTCTGCCCCCGAACACTCCCACATCTCTGCCCCATCTCAGCCCTCCCATCACTCCTCCCATCACTCACCCGTCTCTGCCCCTCATCACTCCTTCCATCACTGCCCCATCTCTGTTCCCCATCATTTCCCCAACACTCTCCTATTGCTGCACCATCTCTGCCCTCTCTTACTGACCCTTGCTCCCCCCATCTATTCCCACCCTGCTGGGGTTCTGGGGTACCGTGGGGCTGGGGGGGGTGCTCTGTGGTGCCGGACATGCTTGTGGGGGTTCAGGCAGGTGACTGATGCTCTTCTGGAGGATTCCTTTTGGGGGGTGGGCACCCCAGTGTCCCTGGTGCCCCTGGCCCCTGCACCAGCTGTACCAGGGGTGCCCGGTGTTGGGGGCCCTCAGCAACGGGGGGCCTTTTCCCCCACCTTCCTTTGGCCCCCAAGATCAGGGGAGGGGAAGTTGCACCATTCCTTGTGCTCCCCCCACCCCGTGATGCCAGCGCGATTGCATCACCCATCTGTGGGTTTTGGGTCCCCGTGGCCTGCCAGCTCTGGAGTGAGCCATGCCCGGGTCACTGCTCCCCACCAGTAAATCCCAGTGCACCCCATTGCCACTCCTAGTAGTGCCATCGGCAGGGACAGAGGTGCCGGGGATGGTGTTCCCAAGGACCACAGGGGCTCCTGCAGCCCTGTGGGGCAGTGTCCCTGTGCCCCAGCCTCAGTGTGCTGGGCCAGGGGAGCCCTGGGGGGGTTCCCCCCCTTTTGGGGGCTGTGGGGCTGGGATCTCCCTGGCATGGGGCAGCCTCCAGCAGGGGGGATCCGTGGCACCTCAGTTCGTCCCAGAGTCCCTCCTGCTCTGTGGTGTGAGTGCCGGCACTCACTCCCACCCCGCCCCTCACACGGAGCCTGGGTGTGCCCCTGGGGGGTCCCCAATACCCGGTCTCTACCCACGACGGTGCTTGGGGGTCCCACTGCTGTGCTAGGGGCCGTGCCAGTTGCCACTGAGGGGGTGTTGGGCAGCTGTCCTTGCCGGGGGGGCTCAGAGGGTGGCTGGGGGGGCAGCTGCCTCGTCCTCACCTGCCACCCGGGGGCTGTGGTGGGGCACAGCTATACCACTGCCACGGCTGTGTCACTGCTGGGGGATATGGGGGCGACGTGGGGTCCCCCTGGGGCT